ATAAGTGGGGTAGAGTCACAAACTCAACAGGAGGACGTATGCCATCACGCTTGAGAACGACGTGAAAAACTCATTACAGAGTTATATGAGTTTGTTCAGCCCAAGATTAATGTCCACAGGGAGATCGAATCCAAAGTAGCATCTATCGGCAGCACGTTTAAATGACTCAGGAGCTTAGAGGAGGCATGCAGTAATATCCAGGCCCCCATTGCTAAGCCCGTGCAGGCTCTGTTACTACCACACACGTCGCGCTCACGGCCGGACTCCGAAATTATGGTCAAAGCCTCCGAGGTGAAGGATTCGAGTACCACGCAGTCAATTTGAGATCTCGAGACAAGAGATGTCTGGAAAGTAGTGCGGAGGAAACGCTCGAAGGGCTCACCTCCAGTAGAAGCTCAAAAACTGAAGAAGCTGAAGCAACAGAATCTGACCAGCAAGATAGCCCCGCAGGTGAAGGGACTGGTTGATGGGTCAGACTGAAAGCTGATCGAGTATTAGAGAGAGAAGAAGAAACGAGATGAGAAGCTGTTCCAAAACCCATTTTCCGAGAAGAAAGGGCCCAAGAAGCCGAAGAAGACCCGTTGGAAACCAGCGCCAAGACCTGATGCCCTGATTGTCCGACCCAAGGACAAGGAACAATACTCTGACATTCTCCGCCGAGTAAAGAAGGATATCCCTGCAGAAGAAGCTCAAGATTGCGTCGACAAATTCCGCCGGACAGAGACCGGGGATATGTTGATCATCTTGCCCAGGAAAACGGTCGATGGAGCGCCTCAGCTGTGTAGAACTATCGTCAGTCTTCTTGGAGATGAAGCCGAAGTACTCAGTAAGGGGCCACAGCAGGATCTGGAGATAAAGGATCTTGATGAGACCACATCGAAGGAGGATGTTCTCGAGGCCCTACAGAAAGTAGACGGGGAGGAGCTCAAAATAGCTCCTAAGGCTGTCAAGTCTTTGCGTAACGCATATGGAGGAACCCAGACTGCCTCAGTGACATTCGCGGCAGCTGCTGCGAAGAAGATCCTGGGAGAGCACGGGAAAATCAAGATAGGCTGAGTCGATCGCCGTATCAGGAGGGTTGAGAGACCGATAAAATTCTTCAAGTGCTGGTACTACGGACATCTCGCCACGAAGTGTACGAGTGAAGTCGACCGGTCTAAGCTCTGCATCAAGTACTCAGCTGCCGGGCATAAGGCTTCAGAGTGCAAAGACAAACACCGATGGGCCTTATGCACTGGGAAAGGCAACACGGAGGACTGTGCCCACACTGCTGGCAGCAATACGTGTCCAGTGTATAAGGAGGCACTCCAGAAGGTCTTCAACAAGCGACGATGAAGGTACTTCAGCTCAATCTGAACCACTGTGAGACAGCGCACGACTTGCTCATGCAGATGGCGCGGGAGTCGAAGCTCGATCTTCCCATTATCTCAGAGCCATATCGACACCTGGACACTGGATACTGGGTCACTGGTGCAAGCAGGAAGGCTGCGATCGGAGCTTGTGTGAATCGACCAGTGCAAAGTATCACGAGTGATAGCATACAGAATCCCGAGTGGAAATTCTGTTCAGGTCTCGATCAGAAACTAATCAAGTCCAATCCGAAATTCTGATCAGGCATGTTACGCCTCTGCCTTATGTTTTTCCACTAGGGTTTCTCCGCCTTCCATCATTAGGTATTAATGAAATTTAATTTTTTGAGAGAAAAAATTAGTAACTTCCTAGCCGGGAATCGAACCCGGGACCTCCCAATGTCGCGTCGGGTGCTCTTACCGTCTGAGCTACTAGGACACTTACGAATTTCACTCTCAAATTGACTCATACCCGAGTGGAAATTCTGTTCAGGTCTCGATCAGAAACTGATCAAGTCCGATCCAAAATTCTGATCCGGCATGTTACGCCTCTGCCTTATGTTTTTCCACTAGGGATGGCTTTGTGAGGGCTAAGGTTGATGGAATCTATTTCTACACCTGCTACGCCCCACCGAGTCTTGCTACTGATGAGTTTACAGATTTCCTGGAGAGACTCAGGATGCGAAGCAGCACTTTCTCATGGCAATAGCTGGGGACTTCAACGCTTGGGCAGTCGACTCGAGGAGTAAGGAAACGAACATCAGAGGGCAAGCTGTACTGGAAACCATGGCAGCGTTGGATGTTGTTCTGATGAACAACGGCGATGAACCCACTTTTATGAGGGGAGAGGCAAGCTCGATTGTGGACATGACCTTCGTGAGCAGCACCCTTTCAAAGGGGAACTGCTCATGGTGAGTAGCGGATGTCTACACAGCAAGTAATTACCGTACGATTCTCTGGGAGGCATGTACTCCACAGAGAGTCACCACGACGCCTAACAAGACCAACTGCATTGGCTGGAGAGTGAGCAGTTTCGATCCCAGCTCTTATTCGATAGCACTGGACGACCGCCCAATCAGTAGCAGCAATGCTACTGAAAAGGCAGATAACATCATGAAGAGACTGACAGAAGCTTGCGATGCTACCATATCCAGGAAGTTTACCACAAACCTGCATCCACCGGTGTATTGATGGAATGACACGATCGCCGTTCTGCGGAAACAGTGTAACGCAGCCCGAAGAGTATCCCAGCGTGACCGTAAGAAGCCAAACTGTGAGGAGTTGGAAATGCAATATAAGGAGGCACGCCGGAAGCTTAGCAAAGCGATCGAAAGCCACAAGAAGCAATCCTGGAGTGAGCTCCATAATGAGGTGGAAGGTGATCCATAGGGGAGATCGTATGAGGTGGTGATGATGCGACTGAAGAGTCAACCAATGGCAGCGCCTACGTGCCCCGTGCTAATGGAGAGAATCGTCACAGTGTTGTTCCCGCTACAACGAAAGCTTCACTGTACTGGCGAACAGGAAAAAGAGATAATGGTCCCTTCAATCATCAAAGAAGCATTGATGGAAGCTTGCCACAGAGTGGGTAAAACCAAGGCGCCTGGCCTTGATGGAATTCCCAATATCGGACTAAAAGCAGCTATTCATGCGATTTCAAATTTTTTCTTGGACGTCTACAACGAGTGCAAACGAAGTGGGCTGAAAAAGAAAGACTAGAGGCTTATTTCTCATAGGTTATTCAGGACCCCCCACCAAGTTTAGATTTTCCAAAATATGGAAAACTTGTAGCTCCTCCTCCTAACTAGTTTTGCATAAAAGAGCCTCACGAAGGTTTTTTGACTACATTTGCGTTTCCGGCAAAATGACGTCAAGTCAAGTGAGCCCATCTCCCAAAAGCAGTGGAAGTTTAGTGCGTCCAACAGGTTATAAGCCTGGAAGTTTTAAACCAAAAGTACCTCGATATTCTGTGAACATGAAAAATCAAAACGGAATAAAAATAGTGAGTGATCGGATGGTGGAAAATAATAGTGAACAAAAAAAAAGATTGAAAAAATGCTAAAAAAAGTGAAACTCCAGCAACGTGAAGCCTCCAACCCCGGGCCTAACATAAACATTGGCCCTGGCACCCAAGTGACTGAAAAGAAGAAAAACTCGGGAGGACGGTGGAGCAATAAATCACCCCATAACGCTCAAACTGATTCCAAAATTGTGGATGCGAATAAAAAAAGTGAAATTATTCAAGTGAGCATGGAAGATAAATCTTGTGGAGTAATATGCTGGAAAATGATCTTGATATTTTTAATCAAGTGTGTGATGAAAATATGCCCCTTGAAAATAAAAATGTGGTGGAAAAGCAGCAATAGCAGAAGGAAAAAATAAAAGATACTGATGAAAAGAAGCAGGACAAAGCACGTACTCGTGAAAATCTCTTAAAAATCGCTGAAAAGAAGAAGGCCGAATTCAACGCTCGGGAAAGAAGGAGGCAATTGGCCAAGGAAAAACAGAGGCCATTCAGGGCTCGTGAGTTTGAAAAAATCGCTCTAGGACCATACATCGACAGAAATCATCCCCGAGAGCCCTGAGGTCGTGTCAAGGTCACAAGCATCGATGGAAATCATTCCAGAGACCCCGGAGACCATTGATCTTATTTCTCAGACTCCAGAAATGATGCAGCCAATGGAGATCATCCCAGCAAATCCAGAAACTGCTAATCGCATTTGGGAAACTTTGGACCCTATTGAAACAATCCGAATGACTCCATCAATAATCGATTTTGTGCTCGATCATCAAGGGGATGCTTCCCAGCCTAGATCATCAAATGAGATATCTCCAAGCCCTGAAGGTAAATATTTGAGATATATTTACATTAATTTGTTCGGAGTTTTCTGTTTATTAATTAAACTTGTTTTTTTTCTTGTTCCAGAGTGCCAAGAGCCTCGAAAGAGCATTGAGGAAATTGAGGCCGAATTAGCAGAGATTGCTGCAGCTCTGGAAAATCGGGAGCGCGAGGAAGAAAATGAACTCATGCAAGAAGACGAATTACACCGCATTCAAGATATGTCAACACAGTGTCAGCAGGAGCTTGACGAGATTGATAAGGAACTGGAGCAGATCGACATTCAGGACCGATTGGCTCGTCAGTGTCTCGATTTTGATCTGTTGTCCCCGAGTATGTTCTTTGACTGAAAATTTATTCACATTTTTGATAATTATCCATCATTCTGTAACCTTTTTTGAAACATTGAATAAATGGTAAATACATTTCAGCATTAAAAATGCGTTTCTGCTTTCATTTAACGTAACCTTCAATATTCCCTCTCCTACGCCTTGCCGTTTTCCTGCTCCTGGAAGTCAGGGGAAGTTTCGCTCTCTCCTTCCTTGTTCCTGTTTCTTGCCCTTGAACTTCTTTTTCCTCCTCACTGTCCAGAGGGATTAAGGGGAATTTTCAATCTTTCTCTCCTTCTTTGTTCCTGTTTCTTCCCTTGAACGTCTTTTTCCTCCTTACTGCCTAGAGGGTTTTAGGGGGTAGATGGTGGGAGGACTTCTGCAGCTATATAAGCTGCGAGGTCTCTCTAACCATCACATACAACTTCACCTTCGGTCCTCAGGATTATTTTGTGTTTTTTGTGTTTTTTTTGTTTAAAAAAAATGGTTGTGCCTGTAATCGCCCGAGGGGATACATACAGGGTGGTTATCACCCGTATGGTAAGTTTTTATTTATTGATATTTTCATTGGTTTTTTCGTTTTTCCGTGTTTTAGTGTTTTAGTGTTTCATGTTTTTTTTGTATCCGTGTTCTTTAGTGTTCGTTTTTCGTGAATTTTTTCATGTTCTTTTTTTCGGGTTTTAAATCTTTCGTTCAATTTTTGTTCATTTTTGTTCGGTTTTCGTCGTTCTCTGTTCGTTTTTTGAACCCCCTATCATGGAAAACGCATGTATTTTTTGTTCGGTTTTCGTTCGTTTTGTTTTCGTTTTTCGTCTGTTGTTTTCGTTTTTCGTCAAAATTTTAGGTCCAAAGAAAATTTTTGGCTCGCGTTCTCTGTCGTGAAAACTTTTTTCATGTTAAATTTTTCTTTCATTGAAAAAAACTTCTGGTTCGCGTTTTTCTATTCAAAAAAAATTATCACTCGCGTTTTTTTTGTAATAAAAAATTTTCATTCTTTTTTAAAATCATTTTTTCAGATGCAGGAGACGAGAAGGGAGAGGGCGTACCTCAGAGCAGCCAACGAGTGGCTGCGTTGGGAGGAAGAGAAGGGTGAAAGCCTTGATGGCGAAGATATCTTCGCCATGGCTGCTCTTCACGCCAGAGCGGAGAGATGGTTGGCGGATGCAGAGCACGAGGCTTACATGGTAAGTCTTTCTCTTTCTCTCTCTCTCTCTCTCTCTCTCTCTCT